TTCATTTTTCACAAATATTTATAGGTTTATTTTATTTATTTTTAATGCTTTCTCTGTAAGATTATTAAGATTTAAAAAAAAAAATGGTTTATTCCTTTTATATCTAAATCAAACGACTTTCTATTATTTAGGAATTGAATTTACAATAATATTGTTTAATATTATTAAACATTGTTTAATATAATATTCAATGATAAAACTACAAATTAATTTTAAGTATGAAAAATTGTCAGGATGATGTGCTGTTAAAAATATCTTTATTGAGTTAGCCAACGTTTCGACGTAAAAATGTGGATCATCATCAGGGCAACGGTTTGAAACCCGGACAAGAACTGAAGGGTACTGAAATTACATTATCTAAGGAGTTATTGCCCAGTCAAACCATTGGATCTGATGACAGAGCCACGTAACGATGGTCAACTCAGTACAACTGTGTATACCCATCTCTAAATTAAGTCTAATATATTATGAAATCATTGTTAAAAAATCGTTTTAAAAAATAAATTTTACTATAAATTAAGTATTCTTTCGTTATTGATGAAGATAAAATCATAATAACTGTGTTAACGGTTTCGAGAGATTTATGTTGTTCTGAAGAAGCTTTCGTATCATATGTACATCTGAAACGTGTAGAAAAGAAAGAAAAACTAAATAAAAGGAACTAAATTTACGTAATTTATCAGTACATCTTCTTAAAACACTCAATGTTTATGAAAGAGAATATGCTGACGTATTGAATATTCTGATTGTACAAGTAGATCAATCAGGACAAATTAAATCTATAATTTACATGCCTTGGAAAAAAAAGTGTATATATATATATATGTGTGTGTGTGTGCATGTTGTATATTGTAGTACAGAATGAGTGTTAAAAAAAATGTCAGATTTCTTTTGTTTTTAAATCCTTTCATTATTTCTTTTCTATAATTACGTTAAGATTAAAACTTTTTTTAACGCTAAATTGTTTTTTTTTTATGAATATTTCAGTCGTGCTAATTATTTTTCGGCATATATTTTTTTTTTTTTTGTCCCCGAAATTCTCAATATTTTTAGTCTTTGTCATAGTGACTTGGTTTGACGATATGGACAGCGAAAAGAGAATGAATAGGGTATTCGGTTCGAAAAGGAGTTGATAATAGAACTGAGATCTGTGATAACATCCCCCAACCCCTTCGTGTAGGTGTGCCTTTTTTATCGGTGTTAGTACGGCGGCTCAATTTAACTTCCAGCAGCCCCTCCCATTTTTTATATATTTTATTTTTTACTAAAGATATATATATATATATATATATATAATATATATATTTATATTTATAAGAGATAAACAAAAGATCTTATATATATAAACCTTATTTAGACAAAAAAATTCAACTGTGCCTGAAATTTTGTAGTTGGTCATTATGAAGGTCACCATACACTACGCACATATTTACGACATTTTCTTTAAAAATTGGTAATATAGTTTAATAAAACACTAACGATAACGGCTTGTTGTCTATTGCCGACTATTATATAGACGACAAACCGTTATCGTTAGTGTTTTATTAAACTATATTACCTATTTTTAAAGAAAATGTCGTAAATATGTGCTTAGTGTATGGTGACCTGCATAATGACCAACTACAAAATTTCAGGCACAATTGAATTTTTTTGTGTAAATGAGATTTATGTATATAAGATCTTTTGTTTATCTCTTCTTTACATTGGCAATTTTAAAACAGAGCTTAACATTTTATAAATTATTTATCCTAAATTTCTATTCTTAATTTCTGTTGGAACATAAATACTATGAATTCGTGTTAAATCAATTTAATATGTATTGTACAATAGTAATAATGCGAAATATTTCTCTTTTCGTTAAATAGCAAGTTATTTGAATTTTATAATTTTTTTTATTGATATTAGAAACATGCTATATCATAACGAATTAATTTCTATTCGTTACGGCTCTAGTCAAAGAATTGTTTTGTTGGTAGTATTGTGCCCAATGGCGGCGCCGGTAACCCTCTCAACTCAACTAGTCTGTACTTGCTGATTGTCATGTCTTTTTGTTTGCTGAATATTCTCTCTCTCTCTCTCTCGGTATTTTTTATTTTCATTAAACTAATACTAATTAATTAATTGATTAAATATGTACGAATTAAAGTTCTGTCTTCAAATTATGTAATTCCCAATGCTGATGTATTTCTACTGAGTAAAAATGAACTGTTGGTCCTATGTTTATAAGTACTTAACTGTTTGTAAAATTGCCTTAATGGTATCCATTTTATAGTCCATAATTTATTAACTGACTACTCATATACCTGTACATGATAATAAACAGGTATAATAATATTTCTTTTTGTTTAATTTTTTAATCACTTGTTACCAAGCAATGCACTATATTATAATAAAATAGTTATATTCTTCTATTAAGTTGATAAATAGAACAAATCTGCAAAACCTTAATTTTAATTTAAAAATTATTTAATTTATTTTTTTTTTCTAACTGTAACATGTGATAAAAAGTTACCAAAGCATTATGATACTTTTATTCTTACAATTTTACAAAATTGAACCTTAAATATATATCCTTCTCTACAAGGGAAGCAATTGATTAAAGTTTAGATAAATTACCATTTGATAATAAAGAATTAATAGTGCCCTGAAGGACTAACAATCAACCTTTATCAATTTTTCAAAGTTCAATTATATTTGTTTTATTATTCTTGAAATTTTACACGTTTGAAGTATGAAGGAGGTAGAGTTTTTTTTTTTCTCTTATTTAAATATAAAGATTTGTGTTGCTCAAGTTTTCTTCTTTCCATTATTACTGAATATGTTAAATCTATCCTCTACCGAATCCAGGATTTAATTTTTTTCGGGGGCCTTCAGCCCAAAAGACTTTTTTTCAAATACATAACAATAATTACTTCTAAAAAAAGGGAAAGATACTAACTACTTATGTGAAATGGTGTTTAAGTGATTCTTGCAGTCATATTAAAAACAATTAAGAAACAATAATACCTATTTTTTAATATTTTTTCCCATAAAACATAGTTATATTTTTCCTTTTTTGGGGGGAGGGGTGGAGAGGGGCTTCAGCCCAAATCTCCCCTCTTCTCCCTCCTCCCATTCTCCATAGATATGCCTGTGGCTCTATCTACCTTTTTAAAAAGGAAGTAATTGCATTTTTAACAATAATCATCCTGTATGTGCACTATTTTTATTAGTGTTTATACGTTTAAAAAAAAGTATTTTATTCATCCTATTTTTTAGAAATCGCTTACTGTTCATTTCATATTCTGAATGTTTTTTAAAATTTAAAGAAATTTCGGAGAGAAGTTGGTTGGGGCTTCAGTCAGTGAAATTAAAAAGTAAAAATAAATAAATAATTTTTATTTTCTCTTTACCAGGGTAAGTTTCAGGCCTAAGAAAACACAAGATAACATGAAAATATTGAAAAACTAGTATTTAAGAGATTTAGTCTAATAAAATGTAGGTTGTTAAACTTAACTTTAATAAATCTGCGGAATGTCAAATATATTATACATTTATATAAATATAGGTAACAAAGCTGCGAATTATAAAATAGTAGTAGCATAGTTAGGTTGTATAAGATAATGGTAACGATGTTAGAGACTTATGAAATAAAGAGTGAACTTAAGAAGTCACTAAATAGAGGTGATGAAGTAACCAATAATAAAATAACAAAGCAGTGATATAAAAATAATGGTTTGGTTTATAAATTTAAATTTGATCAACAGTTGATTTATATAATAATAGTAACCGAGTTAATAACTTATGAATTTACAGAACAAACTCAAGTAGTTATAAAATAAAGATAGTAAAATGATGAAGTATACAATACCAAAACCATGGTAACAACTTGATAAAATTAACAAAGAAATTAAAAATGAAATGGGATATTAAGAGATATAAGTCTTAAGTGATAAATATGAAATAAAAAGGGTGACGAAGTTGCTGTAAGTTAATGTCTTAATATCTTAAGAGGAAGTGAGATAAATATAGAATACAAATGAAAAATCTAGAAAAGGATTATTAAGTTGTTTAAAAAATAAAATGAAATGAAACTAAATAGTAAACTATTGTACACATAGAAAAGAATTGAAAAATTAAGTTTTGTTAATTAGAAGATAAAATGAGTAAATGGTATCTGATATCTTATTCTGTATTAATTATATATATATACACACACATATCTATTTCACTGACTTCACACCAATATCATCTACCTATGTCTCTTCAATATATCTGCTACAGTCAAATATCAATCCACTATTAAAGAATTTTTAATAATTTGGCCAAAAATTGAAGACTATACCCATTCTTCCTGTTCTCCCTACGCTTTCTCTAATTTATTGTTGCACTATAGTTATGGGTTATTATATTTATTTTTTGTCAGACTTTTAATTGTATGGGAAGGCTGAGGATAGAATATGATCATTCTCTTCTGCAATATTGAATTTTAAAAATATTTTATTAAAAAATATGTGCTTCTCTTTTGGTGTATAGTTACGATACATTCTTTTATAAATAACAAGATTTCTTACTACTAACAATTAATTTTTTTTTTTCGACAAAATCATTTTTTTCTTGGTGACATCGATTAATTTTAAGAAATCAAATGAGTCATAAATTGTCATTTCTTTAAGTTAGTAATGCCATTTGTTAAAATCTGCTTTAGTGTAATGAATGGTTCATTGTGCTTTGATCCAAAATAATGGTGTCTATCTAATAAGGTTATTTAACATGTTTGCGAATGAAGTAATATATCATTATAGTACAAAAAAAACTCGTACAATAGTTTTCCCTCCTCCACTATAACAATTTTTGACATTTCTTGTTTTATTTATCAATCCTTCAATCATACACTATTTAAGCTGTTAAAAATATATTTTATTATTTTGAACAGGCTAATTAATATTAACCTATAGAACATGTATTACTAGTAATTTGTTTTATTTAATTAACTAAAGGAACTTTTTTTTTTTTTTCAGATCATGCAGTTTCACAGCCAATAACAATGGTGGCAAGGAGATCAGGTAGCTTCCCTGGAAGTGAAGCAGGAAATATTTTATCGCCGAGGTCATCAGAAACTGGGGGGCTAGGAGTCAAAATGGTAGAATATGTTCTTGGAACTTCTCCAACGAGTAAAGATCTTGAACCAAGGATGAGAGCATTGGTCTTGGTGAGTTGAATGACAGTGAATTGAATCGGTTATTTCAGAAATGATAGATCATTTTCACGATTTTTTATCTAAATTTTTAAAAGATTCGAACCCACAAAAAATATATGGCGTTAACAACCATACTTTTTTTTTTTACATTAATAGATTCATCTATAAGAAATATTCTCAGAACAATTCTCAAATCTTACCTGGTAAATAAGTGTATTTTCTGCAATAACCGGTTCAGTTGTAATATAATGTGATCTATTAAAATTAAAAACTAGATTTATATAATTTTTCCTTTTCATATTTCTAACTGCACCTGTTATGATGGTGACAATTAGCAGATTTATTGATGATTATCAGCAGATTAGCATGTCAGCTATAATTTATAAGTCTGTGTCCGTTTAGTTTAATATGAAACTGGGATTAAAGTGTATGTATGTTGTTGGTCTTAGGTATTTTAAGTTTTGTTGTTTACATACCAGGGAGTTGCTGTTATTAATCTTAAAATTTTAGATGGACAGATTGTAGTTTTTGTAAGTGAGTCTTTTTTTCTAAACCGTAAATTTTTGAGGTGTATGCCAATGTGGATTTAAGTAGATTTATGTAATTGGTGTATTTTTTTGGAGGTATACCAAAGAGTAGGTGAATTTAGATGATGCCAAAGGGTTTAGGTTTAGATGGTGCCTGGTGGATGGAAGAACATAGTGATAGATTAGAGGTATCGGCATTTAACCTTCAAGTTCGCTAAGCCTTATTATTATAGTTTTTTTTATCATAGATGTGATACAATTTATATTTACAGAGTATATAACTTCCAAGTGATGTGTTTCTATTTAATTTATTAAAATAATTTTGATGTTATATATAGATAAACCATCATCAAGAATAATTGTTTACAAAATATTTACTGCATTGTTATTTTCTCATAAATCTCCACATATGATTGCCAGAAGAGGATTTTATCCTCCCCGTCTTAGAGATTAGTTTATCTCTTCTGAGCATTGTGATCTATGCTGTGATTCATCTTTAGCTAAAATTCAATTCAATGGCATTTCTGGCATTACAACAAGTTTTTGTTGTTATGGCTTCAGGCTAATTGAAGTTGTAGGGTTTCGTATGCCCAAGAAATAAACAAACTAAAAATGTCCTTGTCAGTGAAAGTGGTGTTCATGACTGTTGTTATTATACGACAGTACAAAATAAGTCGTTATTATAGATAATTAACATAAAATTGTCTCATAAGACATTCATATATTATAAGGACAGTAGATAAGTTTTTGCTATTTTCCCTCCCCCCTCCTTAAAATTAATGCTTCATTTTGAGTAAGTTGTAAAAAATATGTTATAAAAAGAATTGCCCACCACTAGCCTACTACTTTCTCCCACCTTTCTTGCTGCCTATAAATTCCTCATTAAAAAAGAAAAAAAAAAAAAAAAAAAAAAAAGGCTGTGCTAGAATCTACTCATTACTCATCTACTCTAGAATCTACTACTGGTATCTTCATAAGAATGGAAGTGCTGGTCGACCAGGTGATTGCAATTGATCGAAATAAGTGATAATTGGAAGAGACTGTATCTAAGCACAGCTGGGGAAACAAGACTTCCCATTTAAGCGTTTCCATTTCTTTTTTAGCAGTTTTATAACAGCATCGTGCAGAACGTCATGTAATCAAACCACCTTATCATGACTATTTATTTGTATAGCAGCATTTATGGCTCGAATGGATCAATTGTAATTTACTACAATCTTCAGTGATAGTTTCTTTCAGTCTGATCATCTCATAATAAATTACATCGTGCTGATACCATCAAATGCAGAGTAGCTTGACTGAGTGGATATTTGGTCTTAAAGACGATATTAACACATCACGCGGCTTACTCCAAAAAAATTTAAGCTCAGGATTATCATACTGTATCCAATATTAATCGCAAGTCTCAATTCGATGCAAAATATTTTTAACTCATACGGCACCCATTGTTCTTGGTTCTGAATCATTCCTAATGCTTTCAAATGTTTCGAAACCATTGTAGCATCTACTAGTAATGAGTTTCCAAGTAGCTAGTGTCTGGCTTAGGTCTTCATAAAGTATATTAAGAAATTTCTGCAATTTTTCTTCTTGTAACCTTTTTGGTGTGCTATTCTTCATTTCCACGATTAAAGTCATTATTTTGAAGCGTCGAAACCAGTCTTTACATGCCGAAAGAGCTCGCTCACCATAATGCTCAACAAGAATTCTGTGTTCTTCAGCTGCAGATTTCGTTGGAATAATACAGTGAAATAAAATCATCGTAAATACTCTTTTTTACTTGACACTAAACTTAACATTTTTAGAACTATGGAAAAAAAATGTTTGAAAGTGGTGAGCCAACATACCCTGAAGTCCAAGGGTACTGACATTACTTCTTCAAAAATGAGTACCACTAAAATGAAAACCCTAATAGTATAGTTGCTGCCATTCGTTAAGAAACAACAAGAATTTGTCTAAGGTCCTAATTGCTGCACAAAATCCATTATTATTATTAAGGAGTGAATTTTGATTTGTTTGAGATTAGTAGTTAATAGATCTTTTCAGTAGTGTAAGATATCTTAGTGCAGGAGAACTCTGCTCAGATACTTTATGTATAAAATTCAGATTATCCTGAACTTTTTTTTTTTTCTGAAATTCATTTATGAAAGAGAAGTTCTCATTGGCTCAGAATGGACGAACACCATGGAGTTAAATATTAATTGCGCTCACCTCCCTCCGCAGAGCACCAGGGGCCAGAAGCCAGTTTAACGGAGAAGTTAGACCCCTCTGCTGCAAATGTGGCCTAGAGTCAGAAACCCCAGCTCATGTGTTGAAACATTGTCAGCATAACATGCTCCTCGTCATCCGTTGGCACAATAATATAAAGCATCGTTTAGCCGAGTTCCTTCAAATGAAGAACTGTAAATGTTTCCGTGAAGTTTATTGTCTGGACACAGAAGGCTCGACAAGGTTTATTGACATTTTGGTGTTCAATGCTAAGGAAAAGGAGGCACTAACAGTGGGCTCATGATCTTATTTGAGACATGAGGATCAGGACATCAAGGTACAGGCCGAGAAAGAGGAAATTTATACAAAATGCATACCTTAACTGAAGGAAAAGTATTGAGATGAATTTGGCGAAAGAGAATTCTCAGTTAAAGGGCTATCTATGGTAAATAGAAGCAAGGGAAGTATCCAAGTTACAAGTAACTTCTTGCAGAGGCTCGGTGTTGGGAAAGGAGCAGATGGAAACCATGACAGAAACTATTATGTTAGACTCTTTATCCTCCATCACCACATATATTGATCTTCGCCTACATTTGATTCTGTGAACCGTTCTTGGTATATTTGTTATGTATTCCAATAGTTCGACCTAACACTTTTAATCTCTTACAATATTATCGATTGATTCATGAGTATGCTGTGTGGTTTAGCAACTCAACATAGTTAAGCAGCTGTGCAATATTATTATTGTAGTTCTCTCTTCCTTTTGTTCAAGTTTCTGTAGATTTTTTGTCAAAATAAACTTATACTGAGTTACATTAAATAAATAATGTTGAGAGAAGTTTTAATTTAATATGAATTTATCAAAATTTTTAATATATTGTTCTTTTAATTGTAAATGTTATCTATATGATTGGATTTTATATTAATCCAATTTTATTTTTAGCAAAAAATGCCTAAATTTTCTAGGCATTAATTTTTGTTTCTATTAAATCATCTATTATATTAAATGTTCATACATATTTAAATTAATAATTCAGTACTGTTCATTATTGTTTCTTGTATATTTTAACTCCAATTTTTAGTTTTACTTTATTACAATTCTATAAATTATTTTGTGGTAGTTTTCATTGATACCTAGAACTAGAACAACAGATCACAATATTTTGATTAAAGGAAGTGAGTAGCAAAAGATATGAATAAAGAATAATTTCAAAAATTTCTACCATTTATTTTTTATCATTTCACAGTAAGCAAAACTGCCCTAACCACTTTATTCGAGATAACTAGGGTTGTACTACATTTCTATTTTAATCAGTACATTGTTATTAAGTTATATTAGTTTATTTAGTATCTATTTATTTTTATGTTTTAGTCAAACGAAACAGGTGAAAAGAAAGACAAGGATAAAGCTCCAGCTTCCCCATATGACACAACTAATAAAAAAGAAATGGAGAATGGTGTAACACAGAATGGCGTACAAAATGGACTTGATGATGATAAAGGATTTAAGTAAGTACTGCATAAATAATTAACTTAATTGTTTGCATTCCTCTTGATAATTTTCCATGGGCCTGGAATCAATTTATCAATTACCTTAAATTAATGTGTTTAGTTTCCTGCATTCAATTTAAATAATGAATTCAAATTAATTCAGGAGAGCTTTGTGTTTGTTTTATTTCCAACTCCACCATATGATGCTAATGTTCATATTAATCAGTATTTCATTCAGGTAGGAATTGTTTTCTTGTTCTCTTTATAATATTTGGTTTATTCATATTCTCAGTTAAGTTTAGTTTAATTATGATGTTTTGATTTGCTTAAAGTTTTGTTAATGTTTATTTGGCTAAGAATTTTATACCCTTATAGTTTCTGTCTGATGATATGTTTTTTGTATTTATCACTTGTCATGGCTGGTTATATTACACACTTTTTGTCAACTTACCTTTATCATAGCTTTGACCACCTATATATAATATGGCGTAAAAAAATCAATTATAAAACTTAATGGACTGAGTAGTTATTAGTCCTAATTGACCTTGATGAAGATATTACGTTTTGGAAAAAAATTACTATCAACTATTGTCTATGGATTATAAATTAGGGTTCTCTTTTTTTTTTAGCAAATCTTATGTAAAACAAAAATGAGTTATGAATTTCTTCAAATATAAAGCAAAGCAATGATCCTTTTTTAGTATGGGATTGGTTGGAAAGGGCATCATTATCTAGTCTATGCCACTAGACAGCAATAAATATTCTTAGAACAAGTTGCTCTTGAGTTTGGTTGTCCTTTTATAGAGTTGCAGAAACACTCTCCAGAGATTTTTGACCTCTGTTAGCTTTATTTTTTATCCTTTAATAACTCACTGTTGATGAAGTACTCGTTCTATTCTCCCAACTTTTCTTTTTTCTCTTCTTTGGTGAGTTCATTCTTTAACTGCTTGAAGTTAGTTCTGTGTTTCTGTTTGCTAAATATGCTATCTCTGGTTTTAAATTGTTATCACCTTTAGTTGCATTTATAATCATCTTTATCCTGCTCATCTGTTTTTCTGAAATACATCATTTCCATTGAAGTATTTTTCCTTCTTGTTTGTAGATATAGATCCATCCATTTAAGATGATTATCCTTTCAAATGACTTATTACTGATGCAACTTTTTATAAGTGAATACAGAAAGATAATGTTAGTGCTTTTTCTTATTATCTCTCTTAAAATTCAATGTGTTTCTCTTAATAATTGACCATTTGTATTTTGATGGATCTCTGGATGTTTTGATAGTTTTACTGTTCTAATGTAGTATAGTTTGTTTTTATCACTTGCATAATTCGTTTACTTTATTTATTATTACAATAATTTTACAAGGATTGCTTTCATATCAAAGACAAATTGTTTTGAGTAAGGAGATGGTCTGGGGTTGCTGTCATAAAAAGATAAATATAGTTTACTACTAATTTTACTTAAGGCCAACATTTCGTTCCAAATTCGTAGGTGTTCTTCAGGACTAAAACGAACAACATACAAAAGGATATAGAAAAATGTGGAGGTCACGTAATATTGAGATAAAAATTATGAACAATATGAATAAACTTATTAAAATTATAAACGCCGTGAATGGAAGGTACTTAGAAACTATGTAAACAGAGTAAGCAAAGTATAACTTAGACAACAAAGATAACAAGACCCAAACTGGAGTAAATAAATGGTAAAAATGATTTTATATTATTGTAGATAGTATAAAATTTAATGCAATAAGGAGGATGGATAATACACATAATTATGAATATAATCCTTCAGATCACAAGAAAAGATAGAAAGAATAAGGAAAAACAATAATAAAAAAGAAAAAAGAAATAGTGGACATAATGGGAGCTTGAAGAAAGCAGGGTGGGGGGAAATCAAATAGAGACTTATGTATATATGCAGCATGAAGTTTCGGTTGAAACTGGTGAAACATAGGGAAACACATAGGAAAAACAGCTGACCTGGTTGGTGGATGGTGGGGATAAGTAGAAAAACAGAATAAAAACCAGGAATATTATAATATCTAAAATTTGATGATATTGATGGACCCAAGAAAAAATAAAATATCTATGAACTAGTTAGTTATAAATATGTACATATACATACAAGATAGAATTAAGAAATTATAAATAAAAATACAACTTGAATACCAAATAAAAATGGAAGGCCTGCAGAACTGATTGAGAAATTATAGATAAAGGAACAGTACAATAAGTACAAAATAAAAGTAGATGGTCGTATATAAATAAAGAATCCAAATATAAAATAGTGTGAGAGATCATACAATAATTGAAAAAATTTAAAGAACGATTAAAAAAAAATAGATAAATAAATAAACCACAATAATATAAGATATAATAAAAAAGCTATTTTTGACTAATAAGATTTAAAATGTATCTATATGTTCAAAAAATAAAATTTTTATCCACTTTATGATTAACTGGATTCTGTTCCGTATGGATGAGGATAGATTTGGAAATGAGTCTTTTTTTCATGGTAAGAACAGAGGTTTTTTCAAAATCAACAAATAAATGGTTGAGGGTCACAGCATGTTCTGATATTTTAGAGGCGGAAGGGTTCCGGGAAACTATGGATGTTTTATGTTAGGAAATATGGGTTTTAAGATGGTTTTTAGTTTCACCAATATAGAAACTATTGCAATTAACAGTAGAGCAAGGTATCCCGTAAACTACATTAGATCGATGTTGTAAAAGTATAGGATCTTTCAAGTTGGTGAAAAGGAATGAGAATTTGTTTGAGACTTAAGGCTAAGACGTAAGTTGATAATAGTCGATTTTAATTATTTTTGTATATTATCTGATAAAATAGGAATATAGGAGAGAAATTTGTATATGGAAGGGGGGTGGTAGGTGATTATGGAGAGTTGAGAGAAGGGGAGGTTATACTGTGTTTGGTTGTATAGATGTTGAACAGTTTTAGTATAGTGTTGAGCGGACAATTATTGGAAAGTAATATATTCTTCACACACAGAATGTTGGTTTGGTGGTATTGTGGATCAGATAAAGAGAGAGATCAGTGAATTAGATTTTTGGTGGTATGGGTGTTAAGAGTAAAAGTTAAGTAGTCTGTCTGAGTACGTGGGCTTAGTATACCATTCAGTAGAAATTGAACTGTCAATGTTTCTGATTATTAGGAGGTCTAGAAAGGGGAGTGAATCATTAACTTCTTTGTCAATAGTGAAGCGAAGGCAGGGATAGTAGGAGTTAAATAAGGAAAGGATTTGGGGGATTCTGTCAGGTTTAAGATCAAGGATGAGATCATCGAAATTTTTAATGAAAATGTTATCTTGATGGAAAGAAGAGATAACGGAATCCAAGAGGTCATTAAGAACTATGTTGCAAATATCAGGTGCTAAAGAACTTCCCATGGTTATACCTGACATCTGATTGAAGAATTTACCTTGGAAAGTGAGGTATCTGGATTTGCAACAAAGCTTTTAGGGTATGAGGTGAGGTTGAGGGTAGTATGAAATTCAATGATTGTCCAATTTTTCGTGCAATGTGGAGGGCTTTGTATATTGGAATGTTAGTAAATAAGCTTTCAGCGTCTAGGGAAACAAGCATAAAATTATCAAGGATATGGAGAGAAGAAAACTCTTGTTTTAGGTTAAATGAATTATTAACATCATATATATTATTGTGGCTAAGCTGTTAAAGAGGGGGTAGAAAAAATTTGCTGAGTTTAGCTGAAGGGACGTTTATATTAGAGATAAAAGGGTTGATGGGGATATCCAGGATTGTGAATTTTTGGGAGGCCATATAAGCTGGGCGCTAAAGAGTTATAAGGGCTAAGAAGAATATAAGGTTGTAGTAAGTGGAACGGCTAATTTGTTTTGTCAGAGTAGGTTTTTTAAATTTTAGCATTAGTAAGAGGGTTAGGTCACGAAGGGAGGGTACGTAAGTCGATTGGTCTGAGTTATACTTTGTCGGAGTATTTGCTCCTGTTCTTGATACCTGTCAAATTTCCTTTATCAGTCTTAGTAATAATGAGGCTCATTATTTTTCATATTTCACTGTTACGATAAGTAAATATAAATTACACTAATATATTCAACTTAATTCTGTTAATTTTTAAATTTTAATGTAGTAACCTAAATAATTATTTATTAGTTAATACTAGCACTATATTAATAACAGTTAAGCAAAAACTAACAGGGATCACGTGAGGACTCTAGGAGTTGTTTTAAATTAATTTTTCATGAATGTAACCTATAATTTTTTATTATTCAATTTTAAATCTTTTGATTTCAGTCGGACACCAGGGAGTCGACAACCATCTCCCTCCGATGAAGATTTAAATAAGAACAACTCAGTGGTTGTTCTGGAGGGAAGCCATCTTATGGGACATTTTCCTCAAGGACATCCTCTTCTTGAGTCACACTTTGAGGCACCAGTGATGCTAGATGGTGGAGGAGTATTTGAAGGAGGGGCAGCCCCATATCACCAGGCCAGCCAGCAGCCCATGGAATCTCCTAATGTGCTTCCACCTTCCTTTGATGTACAGTGAGATTTTTTATACAGCGTTTATTAATTTTATACAGCGTACTTCTAAGGTCTGTATTCAGAGAATTATATACATGCACGACATCCCAGGCAGTTTTTACATTCTGATGGCAATATTTTTTAACAATATTGGATTGGAGTAACATTCTGATGATACTCCTATTTTAACCATAAACTAAGAACCTATACATCATAAATGTCACTTATTAAACCATACTATCGATATGAATTGTGGAAAACACAGTTATGACAAGTCCTAACACATGTCATTTACATCAAGAAGGAAAACTTGTGCTTCTATATATCCTCCAATACTCAATTCTATAGATACTCAAATACTTCAAACAGACAATGTTTTCTAGGACTAATGTTGATAGGAGATTGACTTTTTCAGTTATTAACCAAAAATGCATATCTAGTGTAAGAATTATAAGAACACATTACCTAATAGCCGCTCAACATTAAAATTAACCAATTCAGTCTTAGCCTACAAAACCTCCAGGTTCAGCATGATCTCAGTCAAATCAACTCCTTGTATATCTGTTCACTAAAAAACAGTACTTTCTCTAAATCGTACTGAATCTAAGAAAGACCCTTCATGATTTATAATGGAACGGGTTTATTTTATCATTATAATTATTCGGCTCTACAGTCCCTAAAGAACCAGAATCTTCTTAGGTATAGATTCTCTCTCTTTTCCATCCTGAGTGTGGGTTCTCTATCTTTCAACATCAAACCAGATTATGTCATCTTTACTCAGCATTGCACACTGGTGTCATCTTTCTCTTGGGCATCTTTCAGGGGGCGTCCTGTCAACATGGACAATCAATCTATTCTGAGGTGGTCTGTTGTGTGCTACAAGGTCAGAGCACACTGTGCAAGTGTCCCAGCTTGATATTCCTTTAGATTCCGCTTATAATGACCACTATTTTAAAAGGAGCCAATGATTTTAGTAAAAGCTATTCAGGAGTTGTTCATTTGCAGTGGTCAGAGTCCATTTCTTGCAGCCATATGTGACAAACGACTTATTGTTTTCTTGTAAACTATGAGTTCAGCATGTGAGAGCACCCTGAATTTCATGGGCTTCTGAACTGCCCAGAAGCCTCCATTTCGTACAGTTATATGTGCTTTTATTTCACATCGTCTTCCTGTTATCATGATGTCAAAACACTTAAATTTGTGACAAACTAGGTAGTTTTCATTGATTAGCAGGTCTCTTCAACATGATTCTTAATTTTTGCTACCTTTTGTAAAACAAATAGGCATGACTCCACATCAACCAAATTTGATTCATACTGAATAGTGTTTAGGAGTTAACTATTCTAGTACACATGTGATTGTGTTGTTGGGATACTGGTGCCAGATGAGACGACCAATTGTTCTTTATTTTGTTGACAACCCACAAAAATAGGCACCACTATCATTCCTATCATTGTTAGCAAACTAGAAAGCTTCAGTTGAAAGTCTTAAAATATTTTTATACCATAAATAATCCTAAATTATGAGATTGCTGGATTGTTTCTTTGTTTTATTCCCATTTCTTACATATTACTTTATTTATACTTTTGATAGACAATCTACTGATTTTCTATATTAGATAAGAGAGGATTTGGTAAAAGAAATATTTATTCAAATTACATTCCAATTTTTTTTTATTTTTATATTAAAATATTGCTTATATTTGAGGGTTCTATTTTTAATTTTTTCTTTGATGTATACATTCAATAATTTTTGCTTCCTCATTACGCAACGTAGAGAAACATTGTATTCGTGTGAGAGGTTAAAAAAAAATTTGTGCTCAGAATCGAAAATTTCCACTCGCGTTTTATTTTATAGACACCAAGGATCAAATTTGGTTCGGTGGCTGTCTGTAGTCAAATCGATGTTATGGTCATGTCATCTACTACCATTTATCTGATTCTGATGGATTGTGCGGGTTGGTGTCTAGATTGTCCTGTATCAATTTTATTAAATTCTAACAAGCACTCTCTTGTTAGAAGCTTATGCAGGCACAAATGAATTTTTATGGATAAGCCAATATTTCAGAAACTTTTGGCTCAAAGTTGGATAAAAGGTAGGTGTTTGTAAAAAAATGATGTAGGGTAATTTTGATTGAATTCTGTCCATTGATTTCTCCTATATATGCGCAAACGTGTTCTTGATATGTCTGTATCTCTAAAACCACATGTTCGATTTGGCTCAAACTTAGAGTAAATTTAGGGATTGGTCAACATCAAATGACATAGGCATCAATTTTATCAAATTCTATCTAATACTCTAAAAAAGAATAAGAACTTTTGCTTTTAGATTAGGAAATGTATTGTTTGATATGCCTATAGTTTGGAAACGGCGTTTTTGATTTCACCCAAACTTGGAGAAAATTTGGATAACAGTATAGAAATTACTTAATATCAATTTTATTGAATTCCATTTAATAATTAAAATTAATATAAATAATTGTTAACACTATAATGGCTGTGAATTGTGGAAGACTCTGATCATATGTAGTGGGAGTTCTTTAATACAATATTGTTATGGGGTTATAAAATTTTAGGTTTTATTCAAGAAGTTAATTTATACTGTATTGTTTCGTCGATTCCAAACGTTACTGGCATGACACTTATTGCCGTTACATAGACTTTTCTTAATTTTTAGTAAATTTAAAGTAATTTTTACTCTGAATTTGTAAAAAAAAAAAAAAAGTCTTATTTATGAATGTAGTTATTTCCATTGAAGTTAAACCAGCTTGTCGTGGTCTCGATTTTCTCATTAAATATCAAAATTGTGTCCACTTCACTCATATTTTTATATTCTAGCATATTAGTTTTGTTCTGACTGAAAAAAAGTATTGGTCTCGTTAACTCCGTACAAACCAAAAGTTGAATCTTTTCTATGGATTTTTTGTTCCATCCATTTTACGAATGAAAACATACCTATTAAGTATATATCACTACTGTTAGTGCAAAGGTCATATGTAAAAGTTTTCATAAAATATAAAATTATATTAATAAATCATAAAGAAATAATTAATTTTTTTATTCTCCTGTAAATAACTCAATTTTTATATACGTCATTTGCACTAAGAGTAGCGGGATACATATTCAGTATGCACTGGAATTTGTTTTTAATTACGAATTATCGAGTATGCAATCTGCAAATGCGGAATTTTTTCGCATTTTAGTATTTGCTGATAAACAAAACTCTTGGAAATCATCCCTTATATATATTGAGGGATTATTGAATTTATGAAAACGGCTTATTCCAGAGATTTTATTCTCATAAGAAATTTTTTAGACCTTTTAATATAGATATTTTATAGCAACTGCAAATAGTGAGGAAGCTATACTGACCTTACTTGGCAGATGTTTTTCTATTCTTTTTGTAAGACTGAATTTCCTAACAAAATATTTAAGTTACATTTATTTATTATTTTATTTAATTATCTGCTACTGAATATTAAGATTTTAATGTTTATAAAATTTTAAAATAGCTGATAAGTACTCTTGGCTGATTAAAAATAATGCAGAGTAATATTTTTTCATTATTCTATCATTATTATAATTATGCATTTCGCCTTTTGTAGTTGAAAAGTTGCATTTGAATAGTATGAGGGTAGATTAGCTTTTGTTATTCTTTTCATTTAAGGATTTGAACCATCACCCTATCCTTTAACAGTAGAGATACTGTACACAGTACAGAATAACTTTTAAGAAGACAGATTTAACACTAATTATCATTGAAGGAAAGATACTTGAAGTGTATATATTGCCTGTAATAGCTCTTTTGGAACCAAATACTTACTTCAATCACTTGAAACAGCTGAACGTTTAAGGTGTGATTACCCATCTTTGAAAGAACCCAATGAAAAAATCTAAACAGAAATGTTTATGTGAACATCCATAAAAATAATCTTTTAGTAGTAATTACATCACATTTTGAGTGGATACTTTCTGTTGTTTCCTGGTTAGTAGGTCCTCCTAAACAAGAATTTAGTAAAAACTTCTGTGAGCAATTTTAGGAAACTCGACTGTGTAATCTATATGGGATAGTGAGTTAATTACAGGAATAAATGCAACTGAGAAAACCCTCTTCTAATTTATTTTTCATATAGCATATTTAGGAACTCTTTTTTTGTTAATGGGGTGAAATGGTTAAACCTATAGGATTAGACTAAACATTTCTTAAAACCTATTAGGTTTTAAAAAGCTAATGGAACTGTAATTTAAAGTTTTAATACAAGTATACCTTTAACTAAAATAGTTTTTATTAATTCAGGAATGTAGGAGAGAAAAGATTATCTTTCTTTACTCGATTGATGATAAACAATAAAAAGAGCAATTTTTTAATATTAATCTTTGCAAGACTTTCAACAGTTATGATGAACATTTTCTTTAGGGGACATTATTATAGGTAAATTTTAGGTGGGTTAAGTTATCTAAAATCACTAAACTGTCCGAAATAAGGAATGTCAATTCTGTTTTAACTCGTCATACAGAGCTGAAAAAGAAAAGAAAAAATCAGCTTACTTATATAATAGAAAATATTCGTCCTATAGAAGTGAACACTCCATATCCTTGCTCTGTTTACTAAAACTGATGAAATAACAAAAATAAAAACAATTTAAGATTGATTTGAGTCTCTATGTTCAATTCTCTTGATACATTGATTTATTTGTTATATAACCACTGTTATTGGACCCTAATTTTATTGTCATATATCGTTCTGTACCTGAGTTATAAATTGTACTTAGCTGTTGTACTTTATCACCTTTTATGTAATTTAGTTCATGATCTTTACTTATGAAAAGACACGTTATTATTTTCGGTTTTCTCTAATTCTAATGCAATTATGTTTAGTGTTGGAAAAAATACTGCATTTTCTAGACAAATTCGTCATTAATATTAGTTTCCAAGATGCATATTTTAAAATTCCTGAACATATTGAAGAAACATCAGTTGTAGGATTACTTTTATGTAATTAATATTAGAAATAATAATAATAATA